GTTGGGGCCCCTACGGATGAGGATTGTTTTTGATTACAATCGCTGAGAGTACTATCAAAAAGTGTACGGTGAAACAAACATCGAAATTGTCGTTCGGGTTATTCACTGTATCTGTGTGATCCCCTTTGCACTCGGTTTTATATCCCAACCCCAATCCCGTTTTGTTGCGTTGACGACAAGGTTGTTCACAAACTGATGATTAATACATAGGTATTGTAGTAAATAATCGATCGTCCTTAATTGACTCCTTCCAAATATCTCCTACAGAGTTCCAGTCGGCTTAGCTGCGAGTTGCCTTTCCAAGTCCGATTCGGTACTTGGTTTATTTCGCGTCCCAACGGATACGAGATGCAGAATCAACAACCGAGATTCGTGAGACACGGTTCTATAATACATGTATGATCATACATAACGAAATAATAACGTACAACCAAAGTTTTCAAGCAAGCGAGTCTGAAACGTTAGCTTATTGAGCGGTGTGTTCACGGTGTCCGTTAGAGTCTTTCAATTGTGCGCGTCGTAATGTGTTTATATGATCGAGTGATATAAACAAGTGCCGGCGTTGGTATGTGTTTGGAAATTTACATATAGTACATTTAATACGAAGTAGGAATTAAAGGAGGTGTAAAAAATGTAAAATGATGTATAAATGTCGCAACGTTTTTGTGGGTGGAATGTGCTACATAATCAGAACGCTTAACCACGTCAAGGGAACGAGATGCAATATTGTCGGTTAAATAGTCACACTACTGAGATAAGAAATCAGTAGGCAAATTCTATCAATGAACATTTACACGTTAATAACGTACTGGTGTGATGGTCATTTTTCTTTGCAAGTTAGATACTGGTCACGATACATGATACACCTCACTCTCCGTAGTCCTTTATGAAGTTGGCAGTTGGGGGAAAAGGTAGGGCACAGTTTTCTTTCTCGTTCTCTGTGTGTCAAATTTCGCGACACAGTGCGAAGGAAAACAGGAAACGGACAATTCCACAGACCGACAGTTTTCCTGCACATAAACATAATCCAACTAGATCTGTAACAGTTGCGGCACTCTCACTTGTTGAGGATGATCATTCTACGCAAAATCTGTCTCCATTTCAGCCTCCCCACCCGATAGGAGTTTGAATCCAAGCAAATATGTTGAACGGGTGTATAGTTTTGCACACTGCAACGCCATCATGATAACTACCAATTACTCATTTCGGGTGAACACAGTCATATACTGTAATTTTCGTCAGTCTTCTCATACTTGCATGTGCCGCAAAGCATCACAAGCTTCCGGTCCTGTTGGACTATGTCCTCAGGTAGTGTTCGTATTATCTGCCTGAGCCACTTGCCACTTGCTTGGAGGAACAAAAGATGGTTGACTGTTGGAGACCTGTGCGCATCACACCAGTCCCCAAAAACAGAAGCTGAGAAATTGCGACGAATAGCTTGTATTTATGTTTCACTAAAGTGTTTTGAAAAGTTTATACTTATTAACATCATTCCTAACACTGGACAGTTAGATCACAGTTGATTCGCTTGTCGCGAACAACGTTCCACCTTAGGCGCCCTGGCGCATTGGTAAACTCAGTTTTGCGATCCCTAGACATGCACGATATAGCGTTTCGTTTCCTCGACAATAATATCGTTTTTAATTGTGTGGGCAAGGGCAGGCTTTTGTCTCTACTCCAGGCTGCTGGATTGTCCCATACTCTTCTGTTTCTACTCCAAGATTATCTTACTGGTAGATCACACTTCACGAAGTTTCTTGGAAAAATGTCTGACTCGCTACCAGTTAATTCAGGGGTGTTCCAAGCAGCGTATCTGCCCCCTTTTCCTTTGTCCTTCTATATTCGAAACCTGCCCACTGACTCAGATGGTCTTCTTATCAAGTATGCTGATAATGTTGTCACTATAGGTTTTAAATTACGAAAACGTTTGCAACAATATCTTATCAGACATCACTCATCCATTATACGCAGGAATAAAAGCAATGCGTACCCAATTCTGTAACTAGGTGTCGTTGTGAACTTGTGTATACTCGTACTACTGCCTACCGTTTGTTTGTTATCCCATATCTCTCGAGATTTCCGGCACAAAAAGCATCCGTTAGAATAAACATTTTGAAATTCCCACATAAGTGATATCCATTTTTTTGAACTTTTACGGCACATTCCTCTCGAGGGTACGATGCTCTCTATTTTACTTTTACCTTGCACTCGTCTCTCTCTCTGTGTTACCTCGATTTGATCCGTGCATATAGTGAATATCCTAACACATGATAGCGTATACAGAGCGAACGAACCTTGAATTGAACTTTACTGTGGGACCTTCATCAGTCCCATCAGCTTTCATGGTTATGGTGGTGGGAAGCCTCAGTATGGTCGGGGTAGATGTCTCGGA